CTCCATGCTGCGCGAGCTGCTCCCCCTGCTGCTGCTGCTGCTGCTGCTGCTGCCTCATCTAGAGTCTCGCCAGCAGCAGCGCCAACAGGGGGGAGGACACCGGGACTGGCAGCAGCAGCAGCAACACCATCACCGCTGCGAACAACGAGGCCACAACTGTCAACGCGAGCAGCAGCAGCAGAAGCAGCAACAGCAGCATCAACAGCAGCAGCAGCAGCAGCAGGAAGGGGATTGGGGCTCGAGGGTAAAAAAAGGAGGCAGCGGCGAAGACCCAGCATCAGCTTTACTTTGAGGCCGCACTTGACTGCATCTCCACGCCTGCAGCAGCAAGACGCAGCAGCAGCAGAAGCAGCAGCAGCAGCAGAAGCAGTAGCAGCAGCAGAAGCAGAAGCAGCGGAAGATGGAGCAGAAGCAGCAGGAGAAGCAACACCAGCGGTAGTGCGATTGGCGCCCGCTGCGAGATCTCACGCAGCGGCCGAAGCAACAGCCGCAGCAGCAGCAGCAACAGCAGCAACAACAGCAGCACGTGAGTGCTGCTGGAGCAGCACGCGCTGCAGCGCTTCTGGGGCCCCTTCCACCCTAGTGCCCTCTGAGAGCGCAAAGGCCACCCGCGTCGCTGCTGCTGCTGCTGCTGCTGCTGCTGTTCCTGCTACTGAAGTGCGTTATCCGCGGCACTGGCGGCAGCAGCTGCAGCAGCAAGAGCAGCAGGCGCTGCTGCGAGCCTTCCCATTGGCTGCAGTTCGTCCGCATCGTATGACTTCAGGAGTGCAGCAAGAAGCTCAGCAGCAGCAGCAGGAACAGCAGCAGCCACGGCTGCAGCAGCTGCAGCAGCTGCAGCAGCAGCAAGAACCCAGCTGTTTAGATGCCCTGCTGTTCCTGCTGGAGCGACAGGAGCAGCACCTGTTGCAGCAGCAGCAACAGCAGCAGCAGCAACTTCTCCGGGAGCCCGAGAGACTGGAGCTGCTTGGAAATGCCATAACAGCTGTGAAGGATGCCATGCAGCGGGAGCAGCAGCAGCAGCAGCAGCAGCAGCAATGCGGCATATCACCCCTTGCTGCTGACAGAGAACTGCTGCAGGCCCTAGTGAAGGCCCAAATGGCGCTGCTGCCTGCAGAAGCGTGTGCCGGTGCTGCAGCGCATGCAGCAGCAGCAGCAGCATGTGCTGCAGCGCATTGTGCTGTTGCTGCTGCTGCTACCGCTCGAGCACCAGCAGCAGCACCACTAAGCGCCGTGGCTGCTGCAGCGCGGCGCTCCTCCCCCGAGGTTTCTTGTGAGGAAGCCATTTGCTCAGCAGCAGCAATTGGTTTAGCTGCTGCAGCAGCAGATCAAGCAGCTGCTGCAGCAAGCGAAGGTATAGCCGCATGCAGCGAGCGCAAACAGAGTGGTGCGGACCGAGCTTCAGTAGTAGCAGCAGCAGTAGCCGAAGCAGAAGCCGCAACGAAAGCAGGTACAACAGCAGCTGCAGCAGATGCAGAAGCAGCAGCAGCAGCAGCAAATGTAGCAGCAGCAGCAGATACGGAATGTGTATCTCACAGTGCTGCACCTCATCCTGGAGACAGGCCTTACAATGAAGACGAGCGCTGTTTGAGTTTGTCCGGCCGCAGCACGAGCAGCAACAGCAGCAGCAGCAGCAGCAGCCACAGCAGCAGCAACAGCAGCAGGACTAGCTTGGGAAATCAAGTTTTTGCGGCGCTTGACTTTTCGGGGGCCCCCGAGAGGCCCCCTACGGCAGATGAAGCAGCTTCGGCTATCAGCGAGACAAAGACGGAGCTGCAGCAGCAAGAAGTACGGCAGCAGCAGGAGCAGCAGCAGCAAGCTGAGGATGAGACCGATTTGCTGCATTCGCTCGTGCTCGAGCTGCTTGACCGGCTGCATCTGCAGCAGCAGAAGCACCCGGGAGACACAGAGGATGCTGCAGCAATAGCACAGCTGAGAGAGGACTTCGTTGCTGCTTTGCTGCAGCAGCAGCAGCAGCAGGAGCCGCATGAGGACGTGTACGGTGAGGAGCAGCAGCAACTGCTGCAGCAGCAAAGGCTGCTGCTGCAGGACCAGTGGTGGCGTGAGGCTGAGCGGGGAAAAGGGCGCGAAGAGGCAGCAATGCATCGGGAAGCAAAGGCAGCAGGCTGCGCCGCTTCAGAAAGAGCAGCAGCAGCAGCAGCAGGGCGTGAGATGCAGCAGCAACAGCTGCTGGTCCCCCCTGAAGCTGTGGTATTCCGTCTTAACACTTCTGCTTCTGAGAGCTCGCGAGGCTGCAGCGAGGCAGAAGACTAAGCAGCCAGCACAGAAGCCGCTGCAGCAGCTGCTGCAGAAGCAACAGCAGCAGTGGCAGATTAATCCGCAGCAGCAGCAGCAGCAGCAGGGAGAAGCGTTGCTTTGGTATGCTCTCTTTCAGCGACTCTCTGGCACACTTCGCGCCCTTTCCCAAAGTTATTAACCTAAACCCTAAACCGCAAACCCTAAACCCTAAACCCTAAGCGTTCAGCCACCTGAATGCCCGCAACGGCGTCTTCTAGCAATGGCGCGCAGCAGATTATTTTGGGGGGTCCCCAGGGGCCCCCATACATCTGGGGGGCCCCTGGGGCCCCGTGGGGCCCCACAACAAAGCGGGTTCACTGTGGACCCCGTAACAGGGGGGCCCCTAGGGGCCCCCATGGGCTATTTAGGGGTCCCCAGGGGCCCCTGGGGCCCCCCAGGGGCCCCTGGGGCCCCCTCAGGGGCCCCTGGGGGCGACTGAGGGCCCCCAGGGGCCCCCCGGAGACCTTCGAGGGGCCCGCAGGGGCCCCTAAGGGCTATCGAGGCTATCGAGGGGCCCCCAGGGGTCCCTAGGGGCCTCGTAAGAGGTCTCTAGGCGGCCCGGAGGGTCCCCCAGGGCGAACTGGTTTGTTTGGGGCCCCCCGGGTTTTGCTGGGGGCCCTTGGGTGCTGCTGGGGGCCCTTAGTGGCATTTTCTTTTTTCGAATTTTTGCTGTTTTATCTTTGGTTTGTTTAGTGGGGCCCCGGGGGAAAGTGCTGCTGCTTCTCTTGGCTGCTCTGCAGCCACCTGTGCCTGCTGCTGTTGCCCTAGGGCTCCCTCCTGCCCCCGCTGCTGCTGCTGCCGCTGCTGCTGCTGCTGCTACTGCTGCGCTTTTTCTCTCTCGTGAGCTTTCTGACTACAGGTCTGTGCCCGTAAGTCTCTTCAGCCTAGCTGCTTCTGGTTGCGTGTTAATGCTGCCAATTAACGGGGCTGGTGCAACTGCAGCAAGAAGCAGAAGTAGATCTTTCTGGTGTCTGTACACATTGCTTGCTGCAGCCACGCAGCTCACTAGCTGCGTCGGAGCTGCAGCAGCAGCCGCAGGGGCCGTTGCAGCAGAAGCGGGAACTGCAGCAGAAGCAGCAAAAGCTGCTGCGGCAGCCCCAAAGACTGCTGAGCAGCAGCAGCAGAGCTGCCTCGCCAGCATCAAGGGCTGCTGCAGCAGTAGCAGCTTTTGCCGCTGCAGCAGCAGCAAAAGCTTCTGCTGCTCATTCAACCAGAGCTGGGTGACCGCAGCAGCAGATTCAGCGTCTGCTGCGCTGCTGCTGGCAGCTGCTGCCAGACACTGGGAAGATCCGTCCGCATATAGCTGCAGCACACGGAGCAGCACCAAGCCCACCGGAAATATGAGCCGCAGCAGCAACTGCAGCAGCCGCTGTTGCGGCGGGGGGGGG